AGAGCACGGCGATTGGCAAAAATGCGCGAGAATCAGAAATTACGTCGAGCGCGACAAATGGCAAGTCGTACCGTGGTTTCGGCGGCAAGTTTGGTAGGTGCACCTAATGCTTTTGTACTAATCGTTCAATTATTGCATGGTCGTGAGGTGGTGGTGCTTCTTCAAATCTTCCCAAAGCTCAAACTACACTTCCTTTCAGATCAGTCACAACACTTTTGTAAAATTCATAATAAAGTCAAAAGTATCTTTACAAAAGTGAACACAGTTCTGCACCATAGGATGAATGAGCTTCCCTTTTCAAAATTTCTCGCTGTCTAAGATGCGAACACTCGCTTGACTCGCTGTCTGTAATCTATGGCATTTTTTTCAAAGGGCGTATTTGTTACCAAAAGCTTTACATTGCGGGAGTTTGCCAAAAGTGTATGATAGAAAGGCAGGATAAGCTCCGCCCTCTAGCCCTAGATTTATCCCCATAAAATTCCCCATAACTGAGAAAATGTCACGGAAGATGTAAGGATTTTAGCTTGCCCAATTGCTGATTGAGAATAAGAGGTCAAAAAGCCCAGACGGTCAAGGAGTAGGCTTCACCTATTCTGATCCTTCGTGCAAATAAATTATTAGTGCAAAGGAGACGACCAGAGGTTTCAGTCTGGAAATTTTTTATAATAACGTCAGTAGTCGGGTAAATTCCGCCCACTGATTAACATGAGAGCAAAAAAAAACTTTTCAATACTTTTGGCATTTGAAATAATGGATTTTGTTAGATTCATGAGCTGCATTTAAAATTAATGTTTTCATCCAGAACTACGTACAGTATCTTTGATGCGAAAAATCAATATATTGATTAGTACGCAAACTTGCTTCCGAATGGTCCATTTTCAGGACTTCGTCCGTTCACTAGCTCCAGACTATGAGATCCCGGAGGCTGGAGATTTGGCCGGTCTTGTTGACGCTGATCAACAACAGCAACAGCAACAACAACAACAGCAGTCCGAACAGCAACAGCAGCAGCAGTGAATAGCTCAACAATTAAAGGACGCATAGCTGTCGTTAGCGTCGTAACCGCTCGTCGTCGAGTATTCTCTTCTAGCCGTAGAGCAAATGAAAGTAGCGTTAGAGCACGTATTTGTTCGTATCCGCGCGCGCCATATTTGTAGCACTGTATGCACCGTATTGCTTATATACACACATATATACACATATGCACACGTATATATACATACATATATATGCACACATACATATGTCTTTCTTCATGATGATCCCAGTTATATTTACATATACCTTAATATATGCTATATATAGTGATTATAAAAATGTTTGCGCATTTCATTTTTTCTGTTAGAGATGCGGAGTTCTCCAGAATTTCTTTTTGTCTGCACTCTCGGAAGATGAAATGTTCACATATTCCTACATAGCTCTTTCAACTACACTCTCCTCCCGTTGATGACAATCTCCTCTGCAATATAATTTCGTATAGTAATAAGCATTGAAATCAATCGATTCGTATTGATTGATATTGGTTTTGCATATGTGCGTGTTCTTCATCTTTGTTATGCCTTATCAAAACGTTGATGACGTCATTGCAATAAGTGTTCACTTTCGTTGATTTGACAAACATCACCACAAAAATCTTACACATACCACTCATTTATTCCTGTTTTGTTTATGTTTGTAAATTATGAAATGATTGATTTATTGATTTATATTAATTTTCTCACATTACTTGTTCGCTAACAAGAAAAGAAAATTGTTAAGTAGCGGCTCTTGTTGCGGCTAGTAACGTGCATGTTTTATTTTCTTACCCTCCT